TGCTCCTTCCTCCTCCTTAAATCCTCCTACTTCTTTGAAGCACGTGCTATCAAAACACAGTTCCTACCCCACTTCCTTGAGGCATCATCTATAGATCTCCTGGTGGGTTCCTCTCCTCCACTGATGACTTTAGCACCATCCTTGATACCCCTGTAGCTCAATACTTCATCCTTTTCAGGTTGTATCACACGTAGAAAAGAATCAAATATGTCTAGCACCCTGAGGTACACTGGAGGGGGGCTGATGATATCCACGTGAGCCTTAACGTCTTAGATAGATAAAGGAGGCAGTGGTGGTTTTGTTCTGTTTTGGTTCGTTTTTGAAATGGGTGATAGAAAAGCATGCTTTTATGCTGATAAGAAAGATCTAGGAGAGGAATAAACGCTGCCGGAAGGAGGGGATGGTTGCAGCAGCAAAGACCTTGAGGAGATGCTGGGACCCAGGATACAACACAGAAGGTTTTGACTTTGGTAAGGGCACCAAAAGCCCCTTGACAGCGCCTGGAGGGAAGATGCCTGGCTATCGCGTGGGAAGGTGAGGTGGGTCTCATCAGATTGCATCTATTTTCTCAATGGAAAATGTGAGAGGAAGTGAGCAGCTGAGACAAGAAGGAAGTGGTCTTGGAGGTGTGAAAAGAGAGGAGTCACAGTAACACAGTTATGTCTGAAAGGGAGGAAGCCAGCATACTAGGGAACTGCAGTGCATCTCTGGGCAGTGCTGGGAGCCATTTACAATTTGTGGTCATGAGGAATGAAAATAGAAGGTCCAGAATTAGCCCCTTTACTCAGTGGAGTAAAGGTGGGCTTTTTAATAAATAGTACTGGGACACTAGAGAGCCTTTCATTTTTTTGTTTGTTTTTCTTTTTTTGTAGAGAGGAGGTCTTGCTGTTCCTGGGCTCAAGTGATCCTCCCACCTCAGCCTCCCAAAGTGCTGGGATAGACGTGAGCCACCACACCTGGCCCTAGAGAGCCTTTTGTAAACACATAAAATTAGATCCATATTTAAGAATAAACTCCAAATGGATCAGCAATCTCAAAGTAAAAGGTGAAACCATACTAGTACAAGAGCACACAGGTGAATTCCTCTCTAACCTTGGTGTATGGAAAGTATTTCTAAATGTAACTCAAAATCCACAAGCAATGAGATTGATACATTTGCCTCCATAAGAATACAATTTTGCATGACTGAAGTACCACAAAAAAGGAGTTATTCATACACCAAAGGGTCAATATCCCTAATATAAAAATAACCCTTAAAAGTCGAGGGATGAACATAAAAAATCTAATAGAAAAATGGGAAAAAGGAACATATATTCACACACGAGATTAAAATGTTCTCAAACATATGAAAAAATGCTCAATTTCACTCATAATAGAGAAAGGCAAATTACAACACTGAGACACGCCTCTCAGACTGGTAAAAATAAAAACTACGACTGCACCCTGCTGGCAAGGGTATCCTCATACGCTGCTGGAGGAAATGCAGATTGATACAGCTCCTCTGGAGACCAATTTGGCAATACCTTATGAAACTACACGTGAACTTCCTCAGCAATCCCACTTCTAGGAGACTACCCTGAAGATAAATTTTTGACAATACAAATATGCACACGCATAAGGTTATTCACTGACGACTGCAGAATACTGGGAACAGCTTAAATGACTACACACGGGTCAGCACTGCGGTACATCCACACTGTGGATGAGAACTTCTGTGAACTGATCACTCCATGGTTTCCAGATATTAAGTGGAAAAAGCAAAGCTGCCTATTGTACAAGCACAGGAAGGCTTGAACCAGAAACTAAAGAGAGTAGCTGTCTGTAGGGGCTGGTGGGAGACGTGGGGATAGGAACAGGCTAGCAGGGGCGAAGACAGAATGTTTCTCTGAGCATCTTTTTGGATAGCTTAGAAACACAGTAATGTTTCAGATACTATTCATATACCCCTCAAAATTAAGCACCAAAACCAGCTAGGATGGAGGAGGGTGCCGAGTGAAATAACAACACGAATAGATGACCCTAACCACAGTACACATGGGTAAGATGAGCCACTGGAGGGACTGGCGCTACAAGTAACATTGTCTTGACTGGATAGTGTAAGGCCAAAGGCAAAACCACATCAATGCTCTCTAGTCAGTCAATGGGTGTTCCCTACACAGGTACAGGCAGTTCTGGAAATCTGTGTACACTGGGACAGAACAATAAGAAAAAGGGCTGTAGATAATAAGAACTGGCTTCCCAGCCACAGGAGAAAGAAGTTACAAATGAGGAAAGGCTAAAATGAACCCAGGGGCATTGAATCGGAATCCAGAGCATTAGTGTAAACCATGGCTTTTGACACACACTTAGATAATTAGGAATATGGACGTGTATGTGTGTGTGACAGCATAACTACATGTATTTCCTTGTTGCATCTGCAGAGAGAGCCTGAGCACGGTGACACCCCAGTAACAATAAACACATCAAGTGCCTGGATGTGGTTTCCAAATACCATTCTCTACTAAAAGGAACCAGGAATCAAGGAAAAAGTGGTTGATCCAACAAGATGAGTGTGGCACATCTTGTGGTGCCAGAAAGGACACGCTAAAGGGGGCGGAGGGGCTCAAATTTAACATGGAAGGCCACCTGATCGAGCCCCTATTGGCCGAAGCTGAACAACTGGAGGAGCAAAATAATGGCAGTACTAGATTATAACCCACAGGAAAAATAAAGTCCATGAGCCCATAATGCTATCATCAGTTAAATAAATGGGAAGGGACAGCTGTTCCTTGCAGAATTCCAATTAATAAATGTGGAAGAAAGCAGGCAGCTCCCACAGCTGTAGACAAGATGCAAAATTAGTAGGTGAAAATATAACCCTGCATTGTCTCAAGGTTTCCCCTCCAGTCTGTCAATTACAAAGGGAGAGAGAGTAACTTCTTACATTGAAGAAACCCTCTGAAAACCACCAAACCAAGTGTCCAGGTCACTATCACCTGGAATAAGACATCATCAACGTTGATTCCGTGATGTATGAAGGACACATCATTTCCGTGGTATTCTTGCCAAAACGCACAACTTCTTCCAATCATCACATCAGACAAATCCACATTGAGGGATACTAGACCAAATAACTGATCAGTATTCTTTAAAAGTGTCAAAGGTTATACAAGGTAGGAAAAGCTGTAATAAGTGACAAAGGGAATGTGGGATCCTGGATTAGATCCTAGAACAGGCATGAGTGGAAAAAATGGTGAGATTCAAGTAAGGTATTTAGTTAACAGTGCTGTATCTTTTTTTTTTTTTTTTTGAATAAAGATGGGGTTTCACCATGTTGGTCAGGCTGGTCTTGAACTCCCGACCTCAGGTGATCTGCCTGCCTTGGCCTCCAAAGTGCTTGGATTACAGGCGTGAGCCACCACGCCCGGCCAACAGTGCTGTATCAATATTAACTTCCTGGTTGTAATACTTGTGCTATGGCTATGTAAATGTTAGCATTGGAGAAACCCCGCTGAGGGATATGTGGAAACCACATTACTTTTCCAACTCTTCTGTAAGTCAAAAGTGAGTTCAAAATGAAATGTATGTAGTAAAAGTAAAAAAAAAGGGGGGATTGTATAGTGAAACCAGTTAGTACAACTGATTTCTTTCTTCCACAGCTGTATTTGCTTTGGTTAGCTACAAAGCAGGCCCCTCATGCATCTGTAAGAAAGTGACTGGGGTGTAGGCCCCGGCCTCTAAGCTGAGTAAGATGCCCTGTCAGTTCTGGTCCTCTGGGAAGCAAGACTGAGATGGAATTAGGAGCATCAAAGATTGACACCCCACCTATGTGCAGCTGTTGGCTGGAGCTGCCTGGGAAGAGCTTGTCCTCAGCCCAGCAACAGCTAGGATCAGGGCTTACCTCTCACAGGAGGGTCAGCAGCTCTCTGTGGGATGAAGACACGAGCCCACTCGACCTGAGAAGTTTGGTGTTTCAAGCGCTGATCTGAAACCTCCTGCCTCCATGAAAGATGGGAAGAGACACTCCTCTTCCTCTCAGTTTTGCAACTGAGTGGTCCTCGGGCCGCTCGTGAGCACTGGACCACCGGATGGAGCAGGCTGCAGCCAATTGGCTAGCGCAGGGCTCCAGCCAATTAGCTGGCACGGGGCTCCGACTGAAAATCATCTTGGCTGGTGCCACAGAATCGGCCTGAAAACAAGATACCGCCTAGAGCAAGGCACCCAGGGGAGCCAAGTAGGAAAATGCAATGAATTAAGTAGCTGCAGCTGTGATTAGAGTATTTTTAGCCACAGGACTCAATTAGCTTTCAAAACCTGCTAACAAGAGCCCCACTGCAGCCAGCACAAAAATTTGGTTTTCAGTTTGACACCAGGAATTTGCTTAGCTAGGAGCTGACTTAGGAGGGACATCAGAAAGAGAGAACATTTTCTACTACAAGTTGAAGATTGTTCATTTTCTAGCTGAATTATGAAGGAAGATTACTATTTAATGCCCGCCAGCATACTGGGATGCACACCTAGCATTTTTGGAAAAAAAAAAAAAAAAAACCTCATACCATCTGTGTTCTCTTGCCTCTAGCTCAGCATCATGAAGGTATTTTGGGCAAAACCAATCATTTCACACCCCTAAAGAGACACAGAATCTAATGATGGTTGTTAACAATACCCACCCCCTCTAACACGCTTTGGTGTATTTTCTGTGAGAAGCAGTTACTGGAGGCCGAATGGATTGCATCCATCACGGCAGGGTGCATGGGACAGCCGGGTTACTGGAACTGCATGGCCTGCTGCTTGCTACAGGCCTTCCAGGGCTGCCCAGCAGGGATGGCGTGGAAGCCAACATGGGGGAGGCGAGTGGGGGCACTGGGACAGTTTCCTTGACCCTGTCTCAACCCAGAGAAAGGGGGCCAGCAGGTGAAAAGACCTTCATGAAAAGAATGAAAAAGGAAGGGGCTTTAGGGGTAGGGGCTGTCTTGTGGCAAAGCCCGTGTTTCCCCAGGCAAACAGACAGAGTCTTGATGCACAGTGAGAGCCAGTCCGTCTTTACTGGAGTGAGTGCGGGAGACAGACAGTTTACAACGACCTCTAGCATTGTCTTCACCATTTGATAAAAAGTTCACTATTATATTTATTGTATAATGAAGAAAAACAACACATTCAGGGAAAAATTGAGATTAACTTATTTTTCTTAAAAGGTTCATCTCAAGGATGGCAACAAAGTCCAGCTTGTGCCGCCAAACGGTTTTACATGATCAAACCGTGTACAGCTTCTTGTGTGAACTGTTGACTACAAACATTTACCAAATACATAAATCTCTTTTAAAAAAGCCATTTTAAATATAGCAAAGCAGTGTCTTCTTGCACAGCAAAGTGAAGAAAGTTTCTACAGAGAAATAGAAGTTTTACATTTGTAAAATCTTTTTCACATTCTAATCATCTAGCTTCTTATGATCCAATGCCAGGAGTTTTCAGGTTCCTTATTTACTATGTATTTCTTGTGCGCATGATGGTTAATACAGAAACTATGTTAATGCGTTATTGGTTGTTCTTAAAGGAAATGGTAAAACATGTATTGTTCTTTTCGAACAAACCCCTGATTTAGTCTATAACACGATGGACAGAATTGGGCTCAAAAGATGGAGTTCTGATTGGGACACCTGTGTACACACAGTGGTGACTTGCACCGCAGTGGAGCAGCGGTTAGAGCTCTGAAGAAGTACAGCTGTTGGAAACTGTACTTTAACCAGTGCAATTTACTCTAAGCTTTTTTTGTTTTTGTTTTTTTAGTAATAAAATACTTCTGGAGGGATAAAATTTTCTTGCAATGGTGTCTCATACAAAACACGAGTCTAAAAGGGTAAGAAAAGACGGTTCTAAAGCAACACCATTAGCGTCGTCCCCGCTCTAGGTTGGTGTCCACCCAGAGCTGTGGGTGTGGGTGTGTTCACACATGGACGTCTGGGTGAGATGTGTGTCAAGTCCATATGCTCCATGCCACACTGGGCGTATGGGAAAAAGGTTAACAGTCAAATATTCAGTTCCTGAAAATGGAATACATTGTTACTTGGTCAGTGTAATTTAAGTACAAACTCCGAGCCTTGAGTAATATTATTTTAGAAAACAGTAGTTGTACTGATTATAAACCTGCATAGAAAGAAAGACTATTGAGATACAGTCAGAAAAGCCATCTCATAAGGCACACAAGAAAATAGACAGTAAATGTGAATGTGTTAACTCCTATTCCAATGTACAGCAGAAGTTCATGAACATGCATAAATAATAACGAAGGAATCACTTAACACTTTCAAAGCTATAAATGGTTTACAAAGTGGTAAGGGATTATTCTGGAACTTCAGTGTTGGGAGACTGCCTTATTTGGATTAGGTGTGGCCTTATGAAGAAATGTGCCTGTAAGTAGTTCAGTAAAATAAGTACATTTTTAAAGAAAAATCCTTTCTGAATAAGAGCCAAATGTCTGTACTGAAGAGAAGAGGCAGCACTGTCATCCTCCTTTTTTCGGCCTCCTGGAAAGTTACTACCCAAACTGCCATGAGAACAGAGCCTCCAGTTTGCGGCCTGTGATGCACAGGCCTCTGCACCTGATTATACCTATGTGTTAGTCAAGAAATCTGGCTGATGATTTGTCACAAACAGCAGATGAGGAAAATGTCAAAAGGAGCATAATTTGGGGGCGGGGGAACAAAATGTACGTAAAAATTGTAGGTAGCTGCTCAATATTGTTTAAAATATAAAATAGCCATTTTTAAACCCTTGAGTGTTTCAGGAAAAGGAGTATGTAAAAATCTACAATGAAAGATACACAGGACTTTGAATTTTGCTCATGGCACAAGCCCAGTAAATGGATGAACTTGCTATCATCCATTAGCTGTCTTCCTGTAAGAATAAGGCCTTGTTTACAATCCAAGCTGAGGGTGGCACTAATTCCAATTAGAATGGCAAGAGTCATGCCAAGGACCTGCACCATAAGAGCGTTTCTCCCCGCATACCAAAGCATCACTGTGATGCGCAGAAGAGCTGATCTCAGTAGGATTTTGTCACCAGCCGCATCATTCTGTTTTCAGAGGTCAAGGAAAAAAGATCCCTTTACCCACGAGTATTTTCCCCTAATCATTTACCACTTATAAAACCTTTGTGCTCATCTACTATTTTGTCATTTTCTCTAATATTCATTAAATTAGGTCGGCTTTTTCTACTATATTTTTTTCCTCACAAAAGGCAAGTTTTAAATAATGCCTTATAAAATCTGTTACAACACATTTTATACTTATGCAGGATGAACTTAACACCAATTTTTTTTTTTGCCACTTTGCTATTTATGTACACATATAAAATATATAATGATGCTCAACCCATACGGCACAAAGATTACAATGTAACATCACACATTCACCACCAGTGAGGGGAGAAACCCCTTTATACAATCCTCTGAAAAAACTGGGCTAATAATTAAAATCCAAAGTACAGTATATTTAACAAAATAGTAAATATTAAACAGTGAATACTTAATAAAGGACCTCGCCTTTTCCCCCTAAATTGGCGGCAATCCACAAAAATATACTTTTTAATCTGGTGACCATACAATACATAGGTACTTACATCAAAGGTGATAATATATTTAAGATGCTATATACACAAAGAGTTTGGCTCAACTTTTAATTTATATATAGAATAAGTGTTCATGGCTTTTTTTTTCCAAGGTTCTGCTTGCAAGATATTTTTGTTTGTTTTCCCCTCTTAAAATAAAACTAAAAAGTTAAACCAAGATAAAGCTATTCTCTAAAAAAAAAAAAGTTACAACATATAGCTTTGGCTTATATAAATAATTCATAGCAGAATGTGTTCAAAAGTAGTGAATATAATTTTATATATAGTCATCAATTCATAAGGGTGTTTTCTTTCATATAAAATATACATGAGCTAAAATCAGTTTCTTTAATTTTTAAGATATGAATGTAAAAAGAAACTTCTGACATATTCCAATTATAACTTAATATATTAATTTTACTTTGTTAATGCTCTATATTTCTAGGCTAGTATTTTCTGAATATCTCATGCGTGTTTTCTATTCTCCTTTATTAGCTAAAGATCACTTCTTGACCCAATACATTTTTGCACGTGCAAAAGTTATGTGTGGGGCTTTTTTCTTTTGTTTGTTTTTTAATATCAACAGCCCTTTCCCATGCACCCCTTTGCAACAGAGACCCATGCCAGGTTGGATAATATAAATGACATTTTATGTACAGTATTGCTTTCTTGGTTCCTGCTTTTCTACTGCTCTGTTCTACAAAGCATTTTTTCTTAAGTAACTACAGTCACCGCACAGTTAAATAAAACAAGTAGGGGGCCCTCTAGGTTTCTGCAAGCTAGTGTGGGAGAATTATATATGGGTACACGTTTCTCTGCAAAAACGGGTTATCTTTATGAAACAAGTAGTCCAAGGAAGTGCCAGACTGGTCTGTGCCTACAGGGTGCTTTGTCTGCCATGGGACACACATCTGCAGACCTACAAGGAGTTTGCAGGTAAGTGCCTGATTCTGTGTAACACACACCCACACATACACACACACTCACACCCACATACATATATATGTAAAGGGATATATATATGTATGTATGTACATATAAATATATTTAACTCATGTCCTTATTTACCGATTTAGATATGCAGGGCAGTTCACTGCAGTAACACAAAGTACAAACATCAGCCTGGAAGCCTTAGGTCACCCATGCGTCCATCCTCATTCGCTTTACAGAAGGGCTCTCTCTGTCCTCAGTGTTTGGGGGTCGGCCAAGCACAATTGGAGAATGGAAGTCGCCCCGTGGATCCTCCCGATCACTGCCATCATAGGAGCTACTGGAGCTGCTGAGACTGTCCACAGGAGAGCGCCCCATTTCCTGTCGGGGCTGGGGCTGCTGGGGTTGTGGCTGTGGCTGCGGCGGCGGTTGCTGCTGCTGCTGCTGCTGCTGTTGGAAGCCCGATGGGGTCATTCGATCCCGGGGAGGTGAAATTGGTTCGGACTTAATGTTGATGTTTTGGTTGGTATTAATAGATAAATTGGAACCCTGAGATAACTGCCCTCCAGCACTGAAGGAAAAAAAAAAGAGATGTCAGATGGCTTGCGAGTGCGTCTGCAAAGCCAGAATGAGACAGTACAGACACTGCCTGACAGAAAAGGGCCCAGAGTCTGAAATCTTGTCAGAATTCCCCAAGGCTGGTTTGGATTGTTTCCTTCAGTGCTTGGCACAAAAGGAAATTCCATCTTCCTGGGAGGAAAGAAAATAGTACCGCGGAGCCCTTACGTTACTTGCTGCTGTTACCCACCATGTTGGTACTTTCGCGGCTGAAGTATACAAAACAATGTCAGTGTCTAATGCTGTGCAGGGACCAGAAAGGCAGACGAGCAGCATAGCAGCCTGATCTGCTCACTGTCTCTTCTTCCTCAGCATCTGCTCAGCATCTGCTCTGGTCCTGTGACAGGGCACAACATCTCTTTTATCCTCACAACACCTCTAAGGTGCAAGTCGTACCATCCTCATTTTCCAGAAAAGGAAATTAGGAGCTTGCTCTGAGCAGTACCAGAGGGCGGAAACAGGCTGTTCCCCAGGCCTGGGCTCTGAGTCCCTTCCACTTGCTTTTCCAGGACTATTTTTAATGCATTCATTTAGGATGCTCAGGACAAGCCTGAGGGCCAAATCCTGTGTAGGCAAATTTCCCTGAGATACTCTGCTCTTTTTCCCATGACATAATTCCTAAGTACTGATGATAATACTCATTGCAGAGTTACTTCAGAATGTATGAGGGAAAGGGTTGCTGAGCTGAGACTCTCTGTGGACTTCCTGGGCAGTGGCTAGGGGCCTGCGGTATTCCTACTTCCCTGAGCAGAGGCAAGGCAGCCAGTCTTCACCGGGGTCAGCTGGGTCTGCTATGTTGTCCCCTCTCCTCCACCTGCTCCATGGGTCTACTGTCATTCTAGTTCTATAAAAGCCCTGTTCTTTCTTGCTGATGCTCAGGGATATCTGGCCTCATCTGGGCACCACTGTAAATCCTCTTTGCTTAAATCCTTACTCCCTTCCTATAAGGAGTGTTCTCTTTTTGAATGAGGTTTGGTGTGTGCACTGGGCTGGGATCAATCACACAAATCCTATGGAGCGTACCTGATACATAAGATACCCAGCCCCCAGTTTTCCTTCCCTATGGCCCAGGGAGAAAGCAAAAGGTACAGCTTAGCTTCCTATTCTCCTTGTCTACAGGTACTCACCAAAGCAATAAGTGGCAAGGGTGGCAAGGGGGCCTGAATGCCTAGAGGCTGGCTTTCAAGCAGTGGAACCAGAGGCAGGTATGTGGAAGCAGGAGTGCAGCAGGCGGCTTAACCACTGGTCAGTGGGTAGAAGGATGGTGCATGTAGGTGACAGCTGTGCCTTTGGGCCTCCTTAGATCCTGGTCGAGTCTCTCTACCTCAGAATGTCCCTATGGGAGAAGCCTTGCTCCCCAAATCCCTTCAAAGAATGCTTCGTTTGTCAGTATCCAAGCTACTATCTAGAGCCATGTAAAGAAAATATCTTCTCTCAACACTTGTGCCTACCTGAAAAGGAATCACTGTGGCATTCTTCACACAAAACTCTACAGAGCAAAAGGCTGTAGCTATAGGAAAAGAGAGCGTGTAGGCGGGGGCTAAAGACGCCGGGAAAACTAGTTACTCACACAAGAGAGCTGAGGGCTGCTTGTCCTAGGTGGTGCTGCTGCCAGGCCGACACCTGTCCCAGTGACAGCATTCCTGGGGAGTTGAAGCCTTGCAGGGCTGACAGGTCAGCGCTGGTCAGTGAATAATCTACGAAGGAAGACAAGATGGGTCTGCATGTGACGGAAGGTCCATACGGAACTATTACTTAGATAGCTACTGCAAAAGTTCCTACACTGAGGCCCGGCATGGTGGCTCACACCTGTAATCCCAGCACTTTGGGAGGCTAAGATGGGCAGATCACTTGAGGTCAGGAGTTCGAGACCAGCATGGGCAACATGGTGAAACTCCATATCTACTAAAAATACAAAAATTAGTTGGGCATGGTGGCGCACGCCTATAGTCCCAGCTACTCGGGAGGAAGCTGAGGCTGCAGTGAGCCAAGATCGTACCGCTGCACTCCAGCCTCGGCAACACACTCCCTCCCCCACAAAATAAAGAAGCTGAGAGAAGCCAAGTACTTCACAACAAAACAACGTACATGTGGGTCTAAAATCCAAAAATCTTTTCTTGGGAGGTTTACAGGATCTAGCAATATTTAGGTTGTCTGGGATGATTTCAAATAAGAGGCCATCATTAAAGAATGTTCTGTGCAATCATTACTTTAAATATGCCTGCCATTACCCTTTGGAATAAAGGGAAACCAAAGTCAATCAGAGTGAGTTTAGATCAGCAAGTCGTAATGAAGTCAGGGTGCGGGGACAGGGCACAGGAAAGACAGAATCCCTTCTCATGGGGTAACAAGCTTAGTGATATCATCACACAATTAATTAACTGCATTTGTTTAAAGTACCTAGACTATCACAAACTCCTTGACTGCATGCAAAATAGTTTCAACTTCATGAAAAAACTTGGTGTCCTAGAGTATAACCCAGCTCGTATCATATGAATGCTTCAGTCATAATCACTGGGACCAAGATTTAGGACGTTAGTAATCACTCACACGGGGAGTTATTTCAGCTCATCATTAACACTTGTCTTTTCCATTTGGTTCTAAAGAGAGGTGGCAAAACTCTTCTACTTTTATCTTCTTTCTCATGTCTCAAGAGAGGTGTTTAAGAAGTTGGTCTTCCTAGTGAATTAACATTTTAAAAAAGGAACTGAGTTAAAGCAACATAGCTGGTGCTCAGGGTTGTCCTGACTCTGCCCTTGTCATTCCATTCTATGCACTCCACGGGCTGGGGCAAGGGCCTGTCACACTGATGCCCTCCCCAGTGCTCCCTCTAGCCCACACTCTCTTTTGACCTCTAAGGCTTTTAAACGACCTGTGTGCCATGTCCATTTGGATGCCTCCCGAAACGCCACCAATCTGACATGGCCCAAAGTGGACTCTTTTCCTCCAAACCTGTTCCTCCTTAAGTACTCTGTCTTAGTACTTAAGTTGGTGCATGGCACCAACATGCACCCAGCAGCTCGTGCAGAAGCCTATGGGTGTCATCATTGCTACTGCCCTTCCCTGACACTCCCATCATCAACTTCCAGGTCTGGGCAATTCTACCTGCTCACTCTCAAGCCTGCTCAAGTCTCACTATCTCTGCTGCCACCATTCCAGTCGATGCTATCAGCGCCCACTGATTGGACCACTACAACAGCCTCTGATATGGCTTCTTGGCATCGCCTATGTGTTATTTGAAAAAGATCTCTTTGGCTGCAGTGTATGTGGGGTAACCCATACACACTGCAGCCAGAGATCTTTTTCAAATAACACATATGATCATGACACTCCTCTACTTAAAACTTTTTTTATGGCTTCCCAGTGCTCTCCAGACAGTTTCCAAAATCCCCGATATGGTCTACAAATCGTTACTTACCTCTCTAGTCTCAACCCTAACCACCCACGCTGTGTCTCCGGTCCTTTAGCCCTGTCCTGCCTGTGAACTCCTAGCCTTTGCACAGGCACTCCCTTTCCTGAGAGCACTCTCCCTCCTCTGCCTGGCTGGGTTATGCATGCTCCTTCACGTCCAAGCTGAAATGTAGTCCTTGACACAACTGCAGCAGCTTTTCCCTACAGCTGTGTGTCTTGTGCCTTCCCCATAAGCTCCACTGCAGACTCTACACTCCTGTATGTATATCCAGTACCTGGAATAGTGCTTGCCACACAGTAGGTGCTTCATAAATATCTGCCGAATATATGTCAATAAGTTAAAAATAACATGGTAAACTTAAAACAGAATAGGTGTTATGAGAAAGAGAACCAAGATAAAGTGAGTAAAAAGGTGGCATGAGACTGACACTAAGTGACTGATGATTTTGAGAGCTGGTCTCCATTTTTATAGGTTTTGGTGACTCCTTTTATACTTTCAAAAAATAATTTCCCAATTCAATGGCATTTCCAAAAATAGGTATAGTGAAATATCTAAGTATATTGAAAAACCTGTAATGAAATGCTCAGTAAACCATAATCTAACACTCAGTTCAAACTCCCTCTTCTTAGCCAATATGCCTTTGAACATTATAGCTTTCCCCTACCTTCTCAATTCTCAGCGTATAAATTCATAATCAACAATTCGGGACTTCCCCTCCAAGCTTACCCACTTCGGTACGCCCTGCGTCCTTATCTAGAATAAACCTGGACAAAGACGCGCCCCTAGCATAGTGTCTCTCATACAGCAGGTGACCAATGCAGCATCCCTGGCTTTACTCTGGAACCCTGTTCTGTATGAGACACAAAAACAGGCTACGATTCACAATCCCTAAGACAGTCTGCAGTTGACAAATTTGAGTATTATTTATAATACTCAATATAATTTCGTATTAATTATTGGAAAAAGTAATGGATATTTCCTAAGAGGTTCTTTTTCAATAAGCCTTTCATTGTTGTTTCTGTTTTAAAAGAACTACTTAGAATTAAAGTGGCAATCAAATGTTATCAATGAATGCCCTGCCCCTCAGTTAGCTGCAGTCAGCAGTTGAAAAGTACTGTGCCAAAGCATTTACCCTGAAGGCTCACATCAGCGAGCTTTACCACAGTCTTCTTATGGCGCTTATGAGAATCATAAAAGAATGACTTCTCTGCATTGCAGTCTCTGAGTAATTGGCAATGCAGAATTTATTGCCTTCTTCCTCTGAAGCATCAGGCGTTTGGCTCCAGCCGATGAGAAAGTGAAACCACATGTGTTTTCTGCTCCTTCTTCGATTGAATTTAAACAAAACCAGCTGCCCTCAATTCTCCATACAGCCTGCTTGGCTAAAAGCACTGCTGCAATCACTGTAATATTCTTAAACTTTTCTATTACAATGCCAAATCAGGGTATTTTAAGACAAAATGCCTAAAAAAACATAAATGAAGGAAAAGATCCTCTCAAAGACAAAGTGGCTGGCTCTGAGGAGAAACCAGAACAGTCCCTGTTTTGCACCCCCGGCGCAAATGACATGGATCAAGCTAGTGGTTACAGGGAGGAAAACAGCCCGCCAGACACAGCCAAGCATCGGCCGCCTCCTGAAGTCTCAGGTTCAAAGGGATTCATGTCTTTCCCAAAGCAGGTTAACACAGCATAAAGACAAACGTCTTATTTTAAAAGCCTGGAAGAGTGTGATATTGTATAAAGAGAAACTACATCGACAATACTCAACAACAGGCTACTACACTCTTGGCTTGATGCATGCCACCACTTTGATATCATCTACATGGGCTTTTTGTCAGGGGAAAGTGAAAGTTCACACTGGAGAAGCAGAAATAACTTACTTAACTCATTACACCATCAGTATTTTTTTTTTGTAATTCTTTTCAAGGCTAGCACACGTTAAAAAATACATCCTAATTTAAATCTAAAAAACTAGCAGTAGTTTATTTCAATAAACATACTTTAAAAAAAATCACAAAAGCACACGCTGATCACAAAACAGAGAGCAGAAAAACCCATGGACGGCACCAAAGCAGGCTCACCAGTGTTGTAGGCAGTCGGCATTGCTGAGTACACAAGTCCCTGCGGAGGCAAGCTTGGGGTTGTCACAGACACGACTGGGGTAGCAAGAGGCTGAGTGGCTTGAGAACTGCTTATCCTTTGGGTATTCTGTGAGACAGCAAAAAAGAGACAAAGTGTTCTTATGTGGCATTTATGTTTACTTAAAAATAACTTTCGATTTAAAAGTGACATTTTTCATAGTTTTATATGAATGTCATTTTCTGAAGCAGTGATGTGAAAACTTCAAAAATACTAGTGGGAATAACTAAATACTTAATTTGAAGGGACATATTTTTACATCAATTATTTCTCTTTTTAAAATAGTTTGCTAATGTCAGACACACCATGTTAAAATAGGAACTTAATGTTATGGGCATTAACACTTCCATGCATTAGCACAAAATGAAATACATGTAGTTTTTAAATACCGATGATGGCAAAGGTCATCTGTATATACAGGGAATGTAAGTCTATATGAGTATAGGAATCAAAACTACTTTTCTTTGCAGCATTTATGTGTTAACGTGGTTTGAAGTCATGGCTTATTGAGTGCAGCTTGTATTCTTATTCCTCTCCGATCTTGCAGTTGATCTATTTTTTTAACAACAGATTCAGATATGTATCTCTTCACAGTCTCCTGGACTGCAGGAGAGGCTTTGAGTAGAGAGTTTTGAATCAAGACAGCTGACAGGGCTATGGATGGGGCAAATTAAATGACTGCCAGCTGGATGCATCTATGTGGTATCCTATCCATGTTGGGAATGGATAACAAATTTCAACTACTAAATAATCCAGTTAGTTTAAGATAGTCTTGTCCTTAATGTGTAGGACTATGACAGAACCAGTTTCTCACCATTCTGGCTTAAGGTAAGTTTTCCAAAATCAAAGATCAGAGGAACACAACAGACTCTGTATCACTAGCACACAAGAAGGCCACAGCACAACTCACATTTATGTTTTTTATAAATTATCATGTTACGGCCTGATAATTGACATTCAGGAGTCTGAGCTGAATCAGTAAAGTATAATTCAGTGCCTTTGAGATTATGAAGAGTTAGAATGTGATTCCATTTTCTCCATCACATTTTCCAAAAGGGTACATCAGACAAAGGTCTTTGGCTAGATCTAGACACTTACAAACATTTGATGAGGATCCTGATCAGAGTATATTTCTTTTTAATTTCTATTTTCTATCCTAGGTTAGAAGACATTAGAAAGATCATGTGCATGTGGATGTAGTGTCTGAGTTTCTGTCCCAGATTCACCATTTCCTAAGCATTGGGAAAATCATCTAACCTCTCTGAACCTCTTCATTGTCAAACAGAGAACATACAGCAATCTTTGTCCTGGCTGCCTTGCACGGCTACTGTGAGAATCAAATGAGGTTATTATGTTAGAAGTGCTTTCATAACTGAAGTACTACACAAATATAAGATAGTATCCTTAAATTATTGTCCCAAGAAACCCTCTGACCCCAAATTTCTACATAACTGGTGGGGGGAATATGATACATATTTTTATTCCTTCTAATCCATAGCCTATTTTACCGGAGCTTTCATGAAGTCAAGTTGTTCTAGCATTGCCTGGCTTCTAAAGCAATCTCTGTGGCTGGTCTTAACAGTACAGTCTTTAGTGCAGGCCCCAGGGCACCTGTCCTTCCGCACTTTGGATCAGAGTCATCCACGATTGTATTTTAGAGCTTAAGCCAATTTGAACAACTAAGTTCTAACAGAATGTGCTTCTGATTATATTTTGGTTCTGATCTATAAAGTTCTGCATTTTTAATTGATTATAGAGTCTCAAGCTTAAGTTTTAAAGAATATAAATGGCTGTTTATAAGTTTTCAGATATGTATTTTAAAGTCTTCAAGAACCTAATATATTTATCTCCAAGGTTCTGTAATTATAGATGTACTTTGAGGAATGTGGAAAATCAATGTATGCCAATTGGGAATATATTTTAGTTTCAGTATCAAGTTTACAAATTTAACGAGTTTTTGAGATAGAGATCTACTTTGGACTTAATTTCTTCTTTCATATTTGGTCTGGAACTTCAAAAGTCAAATGACTAGGTCCAAGAATACAGTATGAGATAGTTCATCTTGGACCCTACCTACTCCATGGCACCAACTTCATGGCAAACTCCTGGCATGTCTTCAAAGACAGGATAACAATAAGACTTCAAATACGGGTACTACTCAACTAAGCTCCTAATCTCAATGGCACCGAGTTCTGTAAGAGTAAGTGATTTTCAGAACCACTAGAGGGCAACATAGTGCTAGATAAATCATGGAAGCATTCATACATAACTCCTTAAACAGTGAGGTCTAACCTAAGGTGAATTATTTTAGCTTGAATTATAAACTCCCATTTACTAATCATTATTGTATCATTAAGTAAACTGTTTCTCCAAAAGACATTCATAATGTAATTCAAAACATTTGAAGGTGACTAGAATATTTTAGTTGGCCAATACAAAACTACATCCAAAACTGAGTGATCACAAAGCTAAAGAAAGAACAATCTCGTAGTTTAAGGAGAACAACCTTATTTGAAAAGAAAACGAAGTGTGCAAAACACACCAGCATGCATAAACATGAAGTAACAAACCAACGATGCCTTTCTCCCCCATGCTTTCATGCACTTAACCCTTGTCCATGCTATAAAACAACATTTTCAAGTCTTTATTCCCCTTAAAGAACTTAGCAGCTGACTTTGCAATTACATGACTCCTGTGAGGTTTCAGTTTTAGTTACCACAGAAAAAATAGATCAACTGCAGGTTGCTTTTAGTCAAGTTTATTTTCTAGAGGAAAAGCCAACAGAAAACGTTTGTTTTGGAAAAAGGGCAATAGTTGCTTTTAAGAACAGAGCATTTCTGAGAGTAAAGTAAATTTATATACATTCAATTACAGACATTCCTTTTAGTAAACAGGGAACCCCCTTGTGGTTCAGGCTGTATCGTGCAGGATGAAGTAATTCCAACTCTGAAAAAAGTGACCTCACCAAAAATGATGTAATCTTTTTGAAAGAAAAAGAAACAACACAACATCGTGTGTTACAATCTGAGGAACTTGGAGGGTGAAGTCATTTTCTAAAAATATTTCAATAATTTGGAGAGCTATATAAGGTATTTTGTATCTTTCCTTAAAAAAAACATTTAACAAGTATCCTATGCTCATGGACAGCTACTGTTTTTAAAGGCTCTATTCCAACGTTCCCTCCAACAAATAAAATGGGTCAAAATATACAATTATAAATAAAAAAATTAGAGTCTGTAGTACCAGTAGATTGCTTTAGTATTCAAACTGTTTGAATAGTTTTTAAAAAGAAAAAAATTGGTATAACAAAGGGAACATTGGTTAGATAAGAACATTTAAGAGAATTAGTACTTTCTATGTCTTTTTCAACTTCCTTCAAGCAGAAACCCACACTCACCAACTCCAATTCCTCTTCCTCCGACTGTACTCAGCACATAAGAGGGATAAGAGAGTTACTAAGACGGTTGGTACTCACAAACAAAATATTTTTTTAGAAAAACATCATTCAGACATTAGCAGTTGTCTGGAACTCTAAAGAAATGATTATATACACAACAGACAGACATATAAATTACTTATTGTCTCTATACTTGATTTTTCAAAAGAATATTTCTTTTAAATTCTCTAGGGCCAGTATTCAAAGACACCCTCCTCCCCCAACTTGGTCTGCTCTTATGCTGGCCTATCCTATACACAATCATGCTACCGCAACAGTATTTAAAAGGGGTTCCTCATCATGATATCAATCTGTATTTGGAACTTTGAGAATACTAACTCTGCACCTGTAACTCTGCTTTTTGGTTGTTGTTTTTTTTGAGATGGAGTTTTCCTCTTGTTGCCCAGGCTGGAGTGCTGGAGTGCAATGGTGTGATCTTGACTAACCATAACCTCCGCCTCCCGGGTTCAAACAATTCTCCCACCTCAGACTCCCAAGTAGCTGGGATTACAGGCATGCATGCACCACCACGCCCAGTAATTTTAATAGAAACGGGGTTTCTCCATGTTGGTCAGGCTGGTCTCAAACTCCCAACCTCAGGTGATCCACCCACATCAGCCTCCCAAAGTGCTAGGATTACAGGCATGAGCCATCAAGCCTGGCCAACTCTGTATCTTAATCATCCTATTATTACCCCACCAGATGATGTATGTTCATTTATCTCCTACTAAATTCTGCCTCTTGGCAGGCAAAAAACTGCTGTATGTTTTATTTCCCACAGGAATTAGCACAGTGCTATAAAACAAGAATACAAACACTGTTCATAAATACAAGAGTTTTAAATACCAGTTTTATATATGTTTATCATTTGCAAATATAGTGTTCATGTGGATAAAATGACTCCAATGGAGAAAAACCACATATTTGAAGAAAATGAGACTGGTAGAGAAATGAATTCATAACCCATGTAAAGAAAAGCAATGAGGCCAGGTGCAGTGGCTCACATCTGTAATCCCAGCACTTTGGGAGGCTGAGGCAGGTGGATCAGGAGGTCAGGAGTTCAAAAGCAGCCTGGCCAAGATGATGAAACCCTGTCTCTACAAAAACTACAAGAATTAGCTGGGCGTGGTGGCAGGTGCCTGTAATCCTAGCTACTCGGGAGGCTGAGGCAGGAGAATCACTTGAACCTGGGCGGCACAGGTTTCAGTGAGCTGAGATCGTGCCACTGCACTCCAGCCTGGGTGACAGCGTGAGACTCTGTTACAAAAGAAAACAAAACATTTTTGCTCCCTTTCTCTGTAACATTTAGAAAATATTAATATGCTAGAAACAGTCTAATCAGTTTTCAGTTTTTCTCACTTCAATAAGTTAAGCTTCTCTGTCAATCTGTGAAAAGTGTCGTTGTAAGTGCCATTGATACATGAAGCCCTAATCTGGAAGGAGGTTTCTTTGTAAATGGTGTAAATTAGGTGGGACCAATTACTTACTCTGAAAAACAATCACATGATCTATAACTGCTATCTCCAATGTGGGCAAGATGTTATTCAACTGTTTTGTTATAGATATCTTTACATACCTCCAAACACAAGGTACACATCAAAATATTATACTGTCAAACACTATAGCTGTGTATGTGTAAAACATATAGTTTTCACTTTAACGTACATGAGTAAGCATGTAAATAGTTCATGACACCTTTTGAATTTTCCATGGAGATGCTTCATGCTCTCCTAAACAACAATCAGACATAACTTTACAACTGCTCAATGCTTAAATGTAGTTTGTCTTTAAATTGGCAGTTTACTAACAATTCTTATAAACATATTTTTGTGCCTTATATGATATTTTTTGTAGTTTATTTCTGAAAGACAGTAGTAAGCATTTCATATCTAGTACCAGAAAGGTGAGCTACACGACTATCCTCAATTCTATTTTTTCTTGGCTCTCTTTTGGGGTATATTTCTTTGTTATCCATTTATATATGCATTTTAAACTTTTTATTCTGAAATAATTTTAGACAGCATCTCAGAGAGCTCCCTCACATCTCACTCAGCTTTCCGCAATGTTAACATCACAAGGAAATACAATGCAGTTGTCAAAACTAACAAAAATAACACAGTGCCAATTAAAGCTTTGGACTTGACTTGGATTTTGCCAGTCTTTCAACTGCTATTCTTTATTCCTGACACAGGATCAGATCCTGGATTCCACATGTCTGTAGTTGTCATGTCTCCTTAGTCTCCTCTGGTCTGTGACAGTTCCTCAGTCTTTCCTTTTCATGACCTTTAAATTTTCTGGAAAAAGTGCTTATCAGGTATCTTATAGAGTGTCTCTCAATTTGGGTCTGATTTTCATTCATAATCAGATAGAGGAGCATGGACTTTTGCAAGAATACCACAGGGAGACGCAGCCTTCTTAGCAATATCATATTGGAAGGCACATGTTGTCTTTATGTTCCATTACTGGTGATGTTAATTAACCTTGATCTTCCGGTTAAGGCAGAGTTTTCCAGGATTCTCTAATTTCCAATTCTCTGATTTTTCCCTTTTTAAGAAACAAGTATGTGGGAAGAGATACTTTGAGACTATGCAATACGGTTTTCACTTAAACTTTCTGCCCACTTATGTTAGCATTTATCCACTGACCTTGCCTGCAACAATTACCATTGTATTGTGTTCTAATGGTGATTTACTATCTCTCATTCTTTCTACATTTATTAATTAGTTATTTTCCAAGGAAGAATTATCCCTTTCCCCTTGTTTATTCAATCATTTATTTATACCAGTAATGGACTCTGTTTTTCATTCCCTGGGCTATAAATACTATAGTTATTTGTTACTCAAATTGTTCTAGTTTTGGTCATTGGAAACTCTTTTGAAAGGCCAGCTCCCATGACTTTTGATATGCACTTTCTCAACCTCTGACAACTTTGGCTCATCCCGTTTCCCTGCCCCAGATCTACAACAAACCATTTTTTCCAAGCAGCCCTGGTTCCTTAGATTAGAAAATGGCATTCAAAAACTAAAATCTGAGCACCAGGTATGTTCAGCCTACTGTGTGTTGTCTCACAGACCTCTCAGCAAACAGAGCTAGGAAATATATGATGCATACTAGTTCATATGTACACGCATCTGTACCTTTTTTGTGTGTGACAGGGTCTCGCTATGTCACCCACGCTGAAGTGCAGTGGTACAATCACGGGCCAATGCAGCCTAGGCTTCCTGGGCTCAAGCAATCCTCTCACCTCAGCCTCCCGAGTAGCTGGGACTACAGACACATGCTATCACGCCTGGCTAAGTTTTGTATTTTTAGTAGAGACAAGGTTTCCCAATGTTGGCCAGGCTGGTCTTGAACTCTCGAGCCCAACATCCATCCACCTCAGCCTCCCAAGTGCCGGGATTATAGGCCTAAGCCACCATGCCCACCCAGATGCATATATATTTCTGTATCCATCTACGTGTGGGGTGTGTGTGTGTGTGTATAAAAACTCATACTGAATCCTACAACTGTAACCCTGAAACATCAGGCTCATTCTAGACTCCCACCCCCACACCTCCTTGGTTATCTGCAGCTTTCTCCTCCAACCATGAGAAACCTGGGTTCCTTTATCTACCATGTCCACATTTTCATTTATATATTTATTTTATTTATATGTTCAACCCTTTGGGTGTTCGTGTATGTGAGGGATGAATTTACCATCTAGAGTACAGTGATTTGCTACAATTTTGTTGGTCTCTAACCTTACAGTATCCAGTCAAAACAGTTTCCAAATTTACTCAGACCAGGCCCTTTCTTCTTTAGCCCTTCAATATCATCATGTTACTCATCTGTAATGAAGTTATATTCATGTGTAACAATATGCATTCCATCTTGGGCTCCCCTGGAATTACTTTTTAATAGATTGCATTTAAGAAAAAAAAATCACTCTTTGGATATACATTTTAATGAGTTTCAAGGAACAGTACCTTTCGCAGATGCATCTAACAATACAGCATCACACAGATTAGTTCATCACCTCGAAAACTCCCTCATACTATTTCTTTGTAGTCAACCCTGTCTCCATAGGCAGTGAGTTTTGCATTTTCCAGAATGAAATACAGATGGAATCATACACTACTGTAGAGTTTTAGATCTGGCTTCTTTTATTTAGCAAAATTCACTTAGGATTCATCCATATTGCTGTGTGAATAAACAGTTTATTGCTGAGTAGCATTTCTTTATATGGGTGTACAGTGTTTATCCAATCATCTGTTGAAGAACACTTGGGTTACTTTCAGTGTTTCACAATTACGAAAGATACAGAATTAAGTACAGTTTTCAATTCATGTGCATAAATACTCTAGGAGTGGCATTACTGGATTACAGCAAGCATTTATTATTATTATTATTTTAAAAATTTCTAAGACAGGGTCTTGTGTTGCCCAGGCTGGTCTTGAGCTCCTCGGCTCAGGCAATCTTTCTGCCTTGGCCTCCCAAAGTGCAGGGATTATATAGGCATGAGCCACCCTGCCTGGCCAGCAAGCATATATTTAGATTCATAAGAAGTTGATCAACTCTTAAAAATGGCCATATCATTTTGCATTCCAAGCATATATGAGAGACTTTTTGCTTCACATCCTCAACAGCATTTCCAGTTTTTGGATTTTCTTAAATTTAAATTTTAGCCATTCTACTGGATGTGTATGTAGTTGTGTCTCATTAGGTTTTCATTTTCAATTCCCTAAGACCTAATAATATTAAACATATTTTCATACACTTATTTGCCATCCATGTATCTTCTTTTTGAAGGAGCTGTTCAGACCTTGTGCCCTTTTAAGAAACTGACTTGTTATGTTTTCTTACTGCTGGGTTTTAAGACTTCTTAAAATGCTCTAGATAGGAACTCTTTATTGTATATGTGACTTCAAAGTATTTTCTTCTAATCTGTAGGTCATCCTGTTATTCTCCGAACAGTGCCTCTCACAGAACAAAACTTAAATTCTGAC